GAATGCTCTTGACCCTGTGTTGATCTTCTTTTGGTGAATGCTCTTCACCTTGCAACGTTTTGCCAACATTTAATGTGTGAAGTGCAGACCAACCTTTTAATCCGCCCCCCGCCCCCAGAATGAAAAGAATAATAATGGATGAGCTAAACAAAATATCTTGTTTTATTTTCTTCATCTAAAGAATAGTATCTTGTTTAATTTCTTAATATCCTTGGTGAAGAAGAGCTTGTTTGGCAAATTATGTTTATTACATATCCTAACTCTGTTCAAACAGAAAGCATTCGTAACCAAAAAATTGTGCTAATTCCCTTGGTTTAATTTATCAGCCACATTTGCTTGATGGCCGGGCTAGTGCGGGGGCAAGTGTAGATTCAGCACGACAAAATTTGGCCTCTACATTTGTAAATGCCTTTGTCAATGCTGGCTTTGGTCAGGTATATAATGCGCTCTGTTTGTTTAGGTTACTATATATATATATATATATCGGTCTGAATATTTCTATTCACTTTATATTTCGGCTCCAGGATAAGTTGATGACAGTACCATCAGAGGCGTCAAGTGGTGGTGCCTCAACAAGCTGGCTTTTCAAAAATAAAGAACATGGAAAAGCTAGCGCTGCTGCTAGTCTGGTGCGTTGTTTATAGCCGGGCGTCACTGTTCGTTTTTCATTAGCTATCATGAGGTTAACGATTGTTCCTGCCTAAACATTTAGGGTATGATCCTGCTTTGGGATGTTGATTCTGGTCTTGCACAAATTGACAAGTATTTCCATAGTACTGATACCCACGTCATTGCTGGTGCACTATTGGGAGTTGGGATTGTGAACTGTGGTATCAAGAACGAATGTGACCCTGTGAGTTCCTTGATGTTGTGTTCTACTCTATTTCTTCTGCAAAACTTGATAGCCCTAGATCTTAATATAATTCTTTTGAGCAGGCATTGGCACTTCTAGCTGAGTACATAGACAAAGAGGACCCTTCAATTAGAATCGGTGCTATAATGGGCCTTGGTCTTGCTTATGCTGGTTCTCAGAATGAGCAGGTAGAGTTCCTTGTTGTCTTTTAATTGTGTGGACATGAAACTTACTAATCTCTTTTGTAGTTAGCAATAGGTTTACCATGTAAAAACTTTATTTTCGTTGCAACGGAAGGTTCTAGAGATTTACAACTATTTAATTGACTTCACTGATTTTCAGATCCGTAGTAAATTGACCCCAATACTTGGAGATAGCAAGGCGTCCCTTGATGTGCTTGCCTTTACTGCTATATCATTGGGATTGGTATATGTTGGTTCATGCAACGAAGAGATTGCTCAGGCCATCATATTCGCATTGATGGAACGAAGTGAGTCAGAATTGGGAGAGCCCTTTGCCCGTCTGTTGCCTCTTGGTCTTGGTCTCCTGTATCTTGGAAAGCAGGTAAACCAATTTTTTTTGTGCTGTAGCTGTCATTAACTTTGGGAGGATAAATATAATTAACTTCCAGTTCTTGGAATCCCAATAGCCTGGACATTTGCGGATCAATGTTCATGCAGTTAACTTTGAGATTTTGCGGATCTTTTTTCTTGCAATAATGATTTTGGATCCATCTGCTATTTTCTATAGGAAAGTGTTGAGGCTACAGCCGAGGTCTCGAAGACCTTCAATGAAAAGATTAGAAAGCATTGCGATATGACCCTGCTTTCTTGTGCCTATGCTGGAACAGGCAATGTGCTCAAGGTAGTACAAGACTTGTGCTTTTAAGTGGTTTCATGAGGGTAACACAATAACTGAAAGTTTCAATGTCTCAGGTCCAACATTTTCTTGGTCAATGTGCCCAACATTTTGAGAAGGGTGAAACCTTCCAGGGACCGGCCGTCCTGGGTATTGCAATGGTGGCAATGGCTGAAGAACTTGGACTCGAAATGGCCATACGTTCACTAGAACACCTTTTGCAGTATGGAGAGCAAAATATCAGAAGAGCAGTTCCTTTGGCTCTTGCCCTTCTCTGCATTTCAAACCCAAAAGTATAGTGAAAAATAACTTTTATCATTGACCTCTCCTTCATTTGTCCTTTTTCTGTTGCTTCTTTAGAGTTGAGTTACTTAAAAGTATTCTTGTTAGGTCTTTCACTCATAAGCAGTAGATGCCCAGGTTTTTTCCTCTTCTTTTTTTTGGGGTCATGTGCAAGCATAACTTTTGCTCCTTGGTGGTCCGTACAGGTCAATGTGATGGACACTCTGAGCAGGCTTAGTCATGATTCAGACTCCGAAGTAGCTATGGTATGTTTGAAGAACGGCAGAAAGTAGATATTTGTGTTACTATTAAAAAGAATTCTCAAATCTGAACTGCTTATCTAAATGCTGTATGTAGGCTGCTATCATTTCTTTGGGATTGATAGGTGCAGGAACAAACAATGCCAGAATAGCTGGCATGCTGCGTAATCTGTCCAGTTACTACTACAAAGAAGCCAACCTTCTGTTCTGTGTAAGAACTAATTTTCCTAGTTCTCTTATGGGAACTCTGTAATATTAAGTTCACGGTCTGATCTGATCGTTGGAATCGCTTCTGCAGGTGCGGATCGCCCAGGGTCTTGTTCATTTGGGAAAGGGATTGTTAACTCTCTCACCATATCATTCTGAACACTTTCTGTTATCTCCGTAAGCCCTCTCTTCTACAACTTGCATATAGTTCAATGGAGACAAGTTCTCTTCTTGATGTGTAACAGTGAACATTGGTGCATTAAACTTTGAACTGTTACTCTAGTTTGTTATATCCCAATTCTGTTGCAGTCTGTAGTAGATTTATTCTTTAGAGGCTGATTAACTATAATATAAAATACTGCTATTCAGAGCTTAATGAGCTAGTAGCTCTCTTTGATCCTATACAGAGTTCCATAGTTGACCACCTTTGAACCTTTTCAGGACTGCATTGGCTGGACTGGTTACTCTGCTGCATGCATGTCTTGATATGAAGGCCATTATCTTGGGGAAATATCACTATATTCTTTATTTCCTAACTTTAGCTATGCAGGTTTGCTGTCCATTGAACAAAGCATTTCTCTTTTTTCCTTTTTTTTGGTCCATTTCTGGCTTTCCTGCTATCAGCTCCTAATTTTATGTCCTTTTTCTCTTGCTTCACAGCCAAGGATGCTGCTGACTGTGGATGAAAATTTGAAACCCTTGTCGGTTCCTGTCCGTGTTGGCCAAGCTGTTGATGTTGTAGGTCAGGCAGGTCGGCCCAAGACCATTACTGGTTTCCAGACCCATTCTACCCCGGTTCTCCTTGCTGCCGGCGATCGAGCTGAGCTCGCAACCGAGAAGTATACTTACGCTTTGCGATTTGATATTTATTCTGAAGACATTTTAAAAAAAAGAAGTTGTCGTTCATGTAGCTTGTCTTACTCACATTTGTTGTCAATGCTCAGGTACATTCCTCTCTCGCCCATTCTTGAAGGCTTTGTTATCTTGAAGGAGAATCCCGACTACAGAGATGATCAATAGTGATCTCAATGAGGTATATGAATGGACGAGTCAGAAGAAGTTTTAGATGGCTTACGATATTTGTTCAAGGAAGAATGGCTGGAGTTATTGATAAGGCTGTTTAATTTGCTGAACGTTGCTCTTTGCGATGAGATCCATTTACTAACATGGTGGCTATCAGGGCCATCTTTGCTTAGAAGTGTCGGAAAGTTTCGTAGTCTGTTTTTCATCGGCACTGTCTTTCATGATGTGTTCTTTACTTTTGCCCCATTGATGTGCTCTGTATAAAACTCCAGATAGTTATTTATTTCAGAAGTTGAAACCGAAATCGTTGTTACAGTTTTCTGTTCACGTTCACGGGATCTGTTTTATTTCAGGCATAGTTTAATGATACTGCTTTATGCTTTGCGAGAGCTGAGTTATGTAAAAGATGAAAATGACAATATTTTTACTATCATATTAGTTTCTGCCTATGATGAAGTATTGCTCTCAGTTTTGGGCCTGTTGTTCTCCCTCTCTCTTTTTGTCCGCCATATTAAAAATAGAAATGGTATGTCAAGTCGAACATGTGAGAAGAGAGTACTATTTAACTGGAGAAAAAACATGATGTTTTGTTTGATAATGTCAACATATTTAACCCAACTTTATAGCTCTCTGTGATTGTGGTTTTTAAGATAACATATTTGAAAACTAAATGAAAGGTGCTCATTTGGTTAAATGATTAGTTATTCAAGTAGTGTAATATATGAATTGATAATGTAGAGATTAATAATGCACCAGTTATAAAGCAGAGATTAGTAAAACATTTGAGTTCTAATGAGGGATCACATCATGCATTTTGTTTACTTTTGATGTATGAAATTGTTTGATCATTTTAGATCGTTTAAACAACTAATCTTGAAAATGTTTTTTCAAAACAAAAACAAAAACGGTGGGAAGCATTGGGGGTAATCAAATTTGAAGAGCATTTTTCAGCAACAATTATTGTAAGTGTTTTTTAAGTGTATTTTTTCAAAAATAACTTTTGCTTCTCCTAAAAGTTTGATCAAATATCTCAATTTTGAAAAAGAAAAGTTTTTCTTTCCTTCCAATTTGATTGTTTAATTGATTGGACATGAATTTTAAGAAAGTAAATATCTTTTTTTTTTGAATTTTGTCATCTTAAATTAAATATTTATGAATATACTAAAAATATCATTTAATTTTGTAGTCTTAAATATGCTAGGTAGAATATTAGGATTAAGAAATTGCCGAAAAAGAAAAAAAGTTTTAAAAGGATTATTCACAAATTATTTGTCAAATTCCTTCGTTAATATTATTGACCCATATAATTTTTTAACAAATGAATACTACTTCATAGTTTTTTTTATATTCATAGATAGAAATAAAAAACCGAGAGTAACTCAAATAATAAGTCATAATATACATAGTTTAGGAATAATATATGTTAGGAAATTGTAATTCTTTTCTAGATGTTATTAGTATTAGGATTAATAATATAGAGAAATAATATTTAAAAGGATTGTTAAAAAGGAAAAAAATTCACTTATAGAAAAGGTCATCTCAACCCTAAACCCTCAACGGCTTGCCGAAGTTACACCTTGCTTCAAATTTCCCTTGCCGGAGTTCTTCTTCGTCTAAGTCTGTTGAAGAACCACCACTCTCCCGCCGGCGCTAGTTTCTTACACTTTCATCCATCATCACCGGTAAGCTCCGACGCTAAATGCCATTTATTTAACCATTTTATTAAGTATTGCGGTGTTGTTGCTTGATTTTTTTGTTCAAGGAATTCACCAAATTCGTTTGAATTATCAAAATAATCTGTTTCAGTTTTAAATTTATTCAATTTTACGTATTAGATATCAATTAATCTAACTGCGTAATGAAATCAGTTTATTTAAATTGAGGTTGATTATTGTGTTTATGGTTAGTATACTAGTTAATCAATTCTGCTTACTCTGAAATTGAAGATATCAATATGAGGTTGAAAGTTATATCTCGGTCTACGGATGATTTTACTCGTGAACGCAGTCAGGACCTTCAGGTTTGGCCACTCTTACTTGTGTTGGGGAAATGTGCTTTCACACTATGTCCTTGTTTTGAAAATATTAACTCGCATAATGATCTATGCTTGATTAGAGAGTTTTTCGGAACTTCGATCCCAGTCTTCGACATCAAGAGAAGGCAGTGGAATATGTTCGTGCTCTGAATGCAGTAAAACTAGACAAGGTTATTCCTGTTTCGTTATTTAATTTATATTGTTTTATTTTGTTTGAGTTTGTCAATTTAAGTTTTTTTTTTGTAAAGATATTTGCAAGGCCATTCGTTGGAGCAATGGATGGGCACATTGATGCTGTCTCTTGCATGGCAAAGAATCCTAATCACTTGAAAGGAATATTTTCTGGCTCCATGGACGGTGGTACGTTTTTTTCGAAGTCTATTTTGTTTATAGGCTTTTTACCTAGCTTCAAATATTGTTACATTTTGATGGTACATTTAGTTAAAAAAATATTCAACATTTAAAGTATAAAAGATATTACAAATTAAAGATTCTCTGTCTCAAAAAATAATAATTAAAACTTTAACCTTGACAAGTAATGCATCCAGGTTTTGCTGGCTGAGAATATTAAAATTATATCTATTAATTACTCTGGACTTCTGAAAATCTTTTGTATTCTTGCAGATGTTCGCCTATGGGATTTAGCTACCAGGTAGATATGCAATGCAATTGTTTTAGTTATTACTTGGTTTGGCATTTTATTATGATAAGTGTGATCTTGTATAACCTTTTATGCAGTTTTCTAGGGTAAGAATCTCTTAGACCAATAGCATCGTTTTCAGTTAAAAAGCATTTGGAACTCAAAAAATATGTTTTAATTACATTACCATTAAGTATGCATGTGATATACTTGAAATTCTGATCTTGAGACCTGAGGTTAATTATTTTGGAGTACTTCTACTAATTCACAGTGCACTAGGGATTTTTATTTCCATGTTACTGCTTGCATATGACACAAGCTGTATGGGACATCTTTATCTCCAATTTTGTCACGTATTGGACTTCTTTTAGATGTTTCATTCTAGTTGTATAAGGGGTTGAAATGTGAAAACTCTCTCGTTTGGCATTAGATCAATACTTGAACTTGTATGCAGTTTTTCATCTGTAACCAGCAAATAGAAGCATGTTAGTCATTTTTAAAAGGCTATGTTTTTTCAATTCCCATTACTTGTTGAACAGCTCGTGTGTGTTCTTTTGATTTTTTTTTATCTCAGTCATGTACCTTATAATGAATGTGTGCCCAATTTTTCTTTTGTGCAAAACCATAGGCGGACAGTACGTCAGTTTCCTGGTCACCAAGGTGCAGTACGTGGTTTGACAGTGTCCACGGATGGCCGTATTCTTGTATCATGTGGAACTGATTGCACGTAAGGCTTCAAGGGAACTATTGCATGCATGGATACACAATTAATATTGAAAAATATTCCTGTACTATATCTGACCCACTGTGCTTTTGGCTACTTTGCTATAGTGTTAGGCTCTGGAAAGTTCCTGTTGCTACTCTAATTGAGTCTGATGATGTATCTGATAACTCATCCCAGGTAAATGCATTTCAAGCTTTCTGTTCTTTTCCATGCATGAACCTGGTGTGCCAGATTGTCTAACAAACTGAATTCTTTTATTCTCAGCCATTGGCTGTTCATGTTTGGAAGAATGCATTCTGGTATGTTATTTGGCATCATTGTGCTTGCAAGATGATCAACTTAAGGATATCATAATAACTTTATTTGTTTTTCTCTAGCTTCATAACTTCAAACTGCAATTGATGTTGTCCATTTCTCAGGGGTGTTGACCACCAATGGGATGGTGATCTTTTTGCCACAGCTGGTGCTCAAGTTGACATTTGGAACCATAACAGGTTTGGTCACCCATTTGCTGTATCTTTTTTGCTGCCAGGTATGTGCAGTTTTTAACACATTTTAATCATCTTGTGAACCAGGTCTCAGCCGGTTAATAGTTTTGAATGGGGGAAAGACACAGTTACATCTGTTCGGTTTAATCCAGGGGAACCTAATCTTTTGGCTACATCAGCAAGGTTTTCATTCCTTAAGACTCTAGAGCCTTCTTTTTCCTTATTTTTTTTTTGGAGAAGGATTGAAGGCCTTCTTATAAGTTTCCTGTCCAGATGCATAACTGACTCTTTTGTTTTAAGTTAGTGCAAATTACTTTTTACTCAAGGTAATCAATTCATAGTTGCTCCTTATCAAAAAAATCAATCCGTCGTTGTTAGTTCATATTTTCATATGTGATGCTCCTTTTCTTTAAGACGATTAAGGCTTAGCTGGTTTCTGTGATCTTTTCTTTTTCTTCTGATACTTGCGTGGGTATCTGCATTTTCCAATCATGTAGTATACATGTTTAAATATACCCTCATTTGTATATAACCTTTGTCAAGTTAAATATCTCTTAGCCTTTTGAAAATTCACTATTATGTGCATCTGGGTTGCTAATGTCTTGGACAAACATTTACGCAGCAGTTGCGGCTTCTTTGAGTGTCAAATCAAACTTAAAAATATTAATTAGTGAAAATACACGAAATCTTCCCAATTTTTATGGAAAAATCAATAAAATATTGCACCTGTAAAGTTGTTTTGAAGAATAATTTTGCTTCAAACACTTGATTAGTTCGTGCTTTTTGCTCTTTTGATAGTACTCGTGAATGGTCTTTTAGAATAGCAGATGCCATGCATGTTATTGTAATTCAGTAGCGGCTCAGTTACTACATTAGAATTGATGCTTGCAAATTCCCAAGTGTAATCCGATTTTTACCCTGCAGCTACTGATATGTGGTATTTGATCTTTCTTGCAGTGATCGAAGCATAAGCATCTATGATTTACGGCTTTCTACACCAGCTAGAAAGGTTATTATGGCGGTAAGCAGCACGATTGTCTCTGTGAAAATTACTGCTAATGGTTGCATGGTCTTGTTTTGGTTAAATGCTGGCCCATAAGCTACTTATTTTTATAATGTGTGAGTTTTGTGGCCTTCCATTTCTTTTAGGCTTTGAACATCTTTTGAGTGATTGACTTGTTCTTAGGTTCAGTGGTCATGTTAAAAGAACCGCTGGGACCTCTCTTGAGTAATTCAGCTGATGTTACAAAGAAGCCCATGTTACAAATCAATAAGCAAACTAACAAGTTTGCACTTACCTCGTCCCTTATCACTGCAAGTGCTGGTGACCTTGCCATTTTTCTTGTTTTTCTCATTTTAGGACAATTGTACTGACAACATCTTTTATAGAGAAAAGCTAAAAAATCTCCTATATTAGGGATGGGAAGAGGGAAGCCTTAGTATCTTTGATAACAACTTTTGATATTTATCTGCTTTGTATTCTTTCAAAAAAGTTCATTTCTGAGTTAATATCTCTTTTTGCAGACAAAAACTAATTCTATAGCATGGAATCCGATGGAGCCAATGAATTTTACTGCCGTGAGTGCAACATGAGAACTTTGTTCTCCTTTCCTGTATCTTGTGTTCTCTCATAATTCTAGTCATGATATTTTTGCTTTCAGTTCCTTTATCACCCTTCCTGATTCCTGCTACCAAGAAATGGTTTTGTTATGATATTATGTTGTTACCTGTAACCTGAATGTAGATTATAGGTGGCAGGTCACATCCCACTTAAATGTGATTTTGATTTTTTGTTCTGTTTTTGGGTAAGGTACTATGAGATCTGATTCATGGGTGGGTGGGGGGATTAGGCTCCTTTTGTGAAAAAATTTTATCCTGATTTTTCTTTGTCCAAAATCTGTAACCTATACCTTTATAATATTCAGAAATTTTGGTCAAAGGTAACTAAAAGAAATTAGAGAGTCCTTCTACGTCTCTAGTGAATTCTGTGAGAACTTGAAGAATAAATCTTAAATTGAAATGTATATATCCAAATTTTGATGATGGTTTAAACTTTAACATGGAGTAAGGTGGATAATAGTAGCCTGCTTACAGTCCTTTTCCGATTGCTAAAACAGTTTTGATTGTTATAATTTGAATGTAGAATTTAATCATCTTAAATATGGATGGAAACTTGCAAACTTAGATAGGACCAAAAGGTGACTGGTTCCTTGGAAGGTCTTTTCTTAGTGAGACTTGCCTAGTTATGCTTCTAACACCACCCCAACATTATTGCTAGAAGTTTGTGAAGCTCAAGTAGAGTAGTGTAGCTCTATCATGGACTCACTGCCCTTGTGTAAAATGTTGCTATGCTAGAGTGTCACATGGTGTTGATTTTTTTAATCGTTAGTGGTTGTTTTCACTTTCCAGCATGAATTTATATGTTAGGTGCTTTCTTTGCTATTACTCCTCACATGTCTCGTTGGTATAGGCTAATGATGATGGCAGATGCTACAGTTATGATGTTAGAAAGTTAAATGAAGCCAAATGTGTGCATATAGATCATACCTCTTCAGTGTAAGGCATCAACTCTTTCATTTACTGCAGTTCATGTGTTGTATTCGACAAGCAGAGTTTGTTGCTAATATTAGGGGTTTATTTGCAGGATGGATATAGATTATTCACCAACCGGTCGAGAATTTGTTACTGGATCTTATGATAGATCTGTAAGTTCCTGTCAAGTTTATTTGTTCACCTAGTGTCTCAGCACTTTGACTGAATTACCATCCTTTGTAGGTGAGAATTTTCAAATATAATGGTGGCCACAGCAGGGAAATTTATCACGCTAAGAGGATGCAGAGGTTTCACTCCATATCTTGATGAAGACACATCTTTTCTGTTTATTTTAGTTATCCCCAACAATAATTTACAGTCTTGGCTGCTTATAGTACTTGCACTATCAAGTGAATGTGTTTTCCTGACATCTGTCATCAACTCAGGGTATTCTGTGTCAAGTTCAGTTGCGATGCAAGTTATATTATCTCAGGAAGTGATGATACCAACCTACGTCTATGGAAAGCAAAAGCATCTGAGCAAATGGGAGTTGTATGTACCTACACTACTTGATTCTTTTGGTTTATATCCTATTTACTGGGAACTTGTATTCATGTTTCCTTTCTTTTTTTAGATGCATTATGGGTTTGAATCTTTCTGATTTTCCTTAACATATCTATCCCTTGTTCCTCTTTAATTGTGAATTTGGTTTCAACACGTCGTTAAGATTATAAAAAGATGATGATCAAGAGGTTGTAAGTTTTTATACCCCATCCATTTTAGTTTCTTGGGATGCTTAGCATGGTGAGATTTCGGGTTTTAGTTATTGGAAACAAAGGAAAGATTTACATTTCTTCAGTAGAACTCTTAGACATGAGATTCCAAACTTGAAAAAACTTTCTAGTTTTTCATTGAAATAGTTACACAAGTTAAAGAGTGTGATGAGTATTAAAAAGGAAAAGAAGGGAAAGAGAGAGAGTTGTTAGTGCATAGATGAAAAGGAAATTCTTAGAACAGCCAAACGTGAAGGTAGGTAAATCCCTGTCAGATAAACAAAATGTTTGGAAAGGAACGGGGAGAAAGATATAACTTATGAAATGATTAACATTTGATTGTGCAGGAACTGTTGTGCAAAAGAACAAAAAAAATACGATTGTCTTAAATCTTTTCTTGCAAGAATGACTTTTTGATATGTTGTGTTGCCTTATATTGAGTTCTTTAGGTATTGTTTTCTGATCATCCCAAAAAAATTTCTTGAATGTTTGGTTTGCGACGATATTTAGAACAACTAACAATTGTCTCCACCTTCTTCACTTTGAAGCTTCTTTATGTGCATCACAATACTATTGCCTTCAATAATGAACAAAATAATCTGTTCCTAACTTTTTCTGGAGGGCAAATGTTGTACTGTTGTTTTGGAAGAAAATGGGAAAGAAAGCTATTTAATGTTAGCTTCCTTGATTGTTCTGTAATTCTGTTTCTGTTTTTCTTCACATCCATCTGAATTTTAAATCTGAAAATTATGTTCTTGCAGGTTTTGCCAAGAGAGCGGAAAAGACATGAATATTTGGAGGCTGTCAAGAATCGTTACAAGCATCTTCCTGAAGTCAGGCGCATTGACAGGTAACAGTTCATCTATGTCTAAGATTCTTGTCTTAGGTCCTTAGGCCATTGGTACCAAATCGTAGTTGACCATCTTCGTTAACTGGCCTGTAAGATCATGTCATGTCCATCCAGTGCAAAAAGTTTGTTCCAATGTGACCTATATTATGCTAACTCAAGCCTGAACAAAACCTCTGCATGGTTAAGGACTTAAAGCTAAAGTGAGAAGTTCAGAAGATGATGATTACCATTGTTAATTCTGTGTGCATATATTTGTTACTTTGCATTCCTGTTGAATATCTCAAAAGATTCCCAGTGAGCCCAAAAGAGATTAATCTTCACTCTCCCTTATTGTGATTTTACAGACACAGACACTTGCCAAAACCAATCTACAAGGCAAGTAGACAAATACGCGAGATGACAGAATCTGCGAGGCGGAAAGAGGAGAGGAGGAAAGCTCACAGTGCCCCTGGAAGCATTAAGAATAAGCAACTGCGAACAAAAAGAATTGTCCGAGAAGTTGAATGAAAAGTGTGGCTGTCTTGATCTGCTGATGCATGTTAGCCAGGCCAATTTGAACCGTTTAGAAAGTTATTACCTATTTTCACAGTTGTTAGCAGGCCTATAAGATAGTAATTTTATTTTATCAGAGGGAAGAATTGAAGTTCCATCATTTCATGTCGTTATCGAGATATAGTGGTGGTTACTTATGTTAAAATTATGTTGCTGCTTACTGCTAAAAATTTTGCCCTGCTCTTTCAAATAGTGATAAAAAAAAAATGCAGATTCTATCATTAAGAAAAACATGTTAACAGACTCTGGTTAAACTTTACATGAATGCATTTGCCAACTAGATTGGTGAGCTAAATTGTGAATAAGTTATTTGGAAACGCTTGCTAAACAGCTGAAAAGTTTGTTCATTTTCGCTTTCATTATATGGTTTGTAAATCATACTTGGATGATAATCTCGAAGTTAGATTTGGTAGTTCAAACTTCAGAGATATTAAAAATTTTGAGATGGTCAAGTTAAATAAAAATACCTAAAATTTGCTTACTTTCAAATTGTTCGAATCGGGGGCTTTAGTGAGCCTTGTATCATTAGACATAACAGAATTTTTAAGAACTCCTAACTCGTGATTCTAAATTGATAACACGGTTAAATAAGTGGGTGTTTAACTATCTTTTATTATGAAATTTGAAAATTAATTTTTATTTTCAAAGTGAAATGATATTTGAAAATTGATTAATAAAATTGAGATTGTTTTTTTACATTTTTTATGAGTAATTTAGAGTGAAAAAGTGAATTTTTTGCCAGGCGAAATACCTCTCTGTATAAGAATATAAGAATTTATAAACTTTGGCTATACCTTACATAGGATCCTGAAATTGGCTATTTTTGCACTCCTCCAAAGTAAGCCGACTCGAAGGGGCAGCCAAGCCAAGCATTCCCCTAGGGTTTAGCCCAAAACCCTGTAATTTCATTTCAACAGTAAATCTTTTTTCCATTAGCATACATCCTGAACGATTCTCTTTTCCCATGGCCATCGCCGCCGCTAGATCCATTTTCCGGTCATCGTCCCTGCGCAATGCCGCATCAAGGATTGCATCGGAGGCTAAAGCAGCTCGATCTCCCTTGCGCACGCCTTCTAAAAGTCCTCTTTCTCATCGCATCTTCAGGTACTCTTTTTTTTTTTTACTAGTAGTTTCTAGAATATTCAGTTTCATAATATGTGATAGAACAATTTTTGCAATTCAAAAAGGTGTCCTTCTGAAATGAGCGCTTGTTTGGAGTCGCTGCAACCATACCACACCGTCACTGCTTCGGCTTTGATGACTTCTATGCTTACTGACTCTCTCCGTAGTTACAGTTGGCTCTCAGAAGGTAATTTTTCACTCTGTTATTCTCTCATTGCGCTATGTTATTGATTAGTTTGATTTCTGTTGGTATTTAGTTAATTAATCAGAACTGATAATTTTATTGTTAAGCGAGTCAGCTATAAAATGTATTCTGCCTCATTAGTATGTTCATGCAAATGTTTGAGAATTGTGCAAAAGTAGTTATTATCTGATGCAGATTGGAGTAATCAATCAATTAAGTATTAACTATTGTTTAATTCCAAAGTCTGTTTTATGGATCTATTGTTTTGTTCCGCTCGATTTGTAGAATCAATATTCAGTGATTCATTGTAGTCAGACTGTTATTTTTTCTTTGATAATCGAGAAATTTCTGAGGACACTATTGAAACACTATGGGCAATGGCCCCTGTTCCTGTACTTTTCACTTAAAAACCATCCTTTTGTCTGTATCATTGATGTGTGCGCATCATGTGATTTTCTTTTACTTAAAACCAAATCCCTGGAGGCCAACTATTATTATGTTAGTTGTCTTACCACAGTTCTCTTTATTTGGGTTTAGATCTGCCATGCTTTGCGAGACTTACATATCAAGAGTCACTAAGGACATAAAATGTATGTAGAAATTCGAAATGGCATCTTTTCCCCTCTCACGGGGAACAAAGATGTTGTCAGCTTTGCTGTGATTGCATGTGATCAATTTTTACAACAAGTGGTTCTGAAAGGATCAAATTTATCTGTACTTCTGGGGTTCACGCTTTTTATCTTTAGTTCTCTCTATTTGCTCTTTTAATTTTGTCATTGCTGGGGGAGTGAGTGGTGTTAATTTGGAAGCAGGTGTATTAGAATATATAAGCTGTAACTCGCCTGTGAGTATCAATCTAGTAATTAGCTGAAGATGTTCATATAACTGTTTTTAGTCTAAGAGGAGTTGTAGCTCTCTTCTTCATTGAAACGTCCTGTACTGGCTGAATTTTCCATGATTTCAAGGTGCTTGAAACTATTAACTAGGTGACTAGCACCTCTGCTGACAACAACCTTCAATCTTGCCGATGATTCGATTTCAACTAGACTTGAAATCATTCTTTTCCACCTGAACGAATAAGCCAATATAAGTTGAGTGACCTATCGCGTAATACATCATTGCAAATACTTTCTCCTATTGATGTCTAGCTCCCTTTTCCTTTCTTTTCCTATAAACCATAACCATTTGGCAAGATTTTGTGGTTTCTGTGTATCCATCTTTTATATTTCTCTGACCGACGAGTTTTCGTTTTTGATATAGGTATCTAGCAAGACCTATAGGACCCTCATTTGATGTCCTTTCCTCATTTACTACTTTGGTAAGTCAATCAAGTATTTCTCTTTAGTGTGTCTTGGACATATCCGAAGTTTAACATGGACCTTCTAATTTATAGTTTTGAATAAATATTTTCCTACTGAGCATGATATATGGAGCCTCCTTTGAAATACCCTTGAAACAATTTCATTCCATAGTTTAGTTATGTCAAAGGCAGAGTAATTGTCAATAGTCTCTTGCATTCTCTTCATTTTTAGTGTTCCCCATCACGTACTTTCCGGTTCCTATTTGTCACTTTGATTAAGTGTTGGATGCTTCATTCTTCCTGTTGTAGGCGTTGACAAGACTAGATGAAGAAGGAGAAGCTTAGAGGACTGAATTGGATTCATTTATGTTTGGAAGCTTTCAATTTAAAAATTGTTACTTTGCATAAAATTTTGTTGACTACTTTTGCTGGATCAGAAATAATGTATGCTGGTTGTTAGGGGTGTATAATGACAGGATATCTGTAGATTTTGCTGATGAATCTTGCAATGAGATGTTTATTTCATTTTCTTTGTGCATCTCTGGCGCATTTTCATGTACGTCTCTTGCAAAAGTTGTCATTAGATTTAATAATATGGACAAGCAGAATCATGTTCTTCTTTGTTTGGTCACTAAAGTAGTGTCAGGATGTCTTTCTAGACACACCTGGTAGAATTGGTGCTTACGATTTTATCTTTATTCGATCAGCCCAAAATGAAGACGTGTGATGATTTTTGGAGAGCTGGAGCAATAATGTACTTTCTCACACTGGTGCGCTAAGTAAAGAGGGTTATAATGAGCTGCTCCTTTATTTTTGAACTTGGTAATGCTAGATTGCAAGTTAGTGTTACCATTTGCTTACTTCTGACTTGTGTGCCTGTCTCTTTATTTGTTATTGACGGTTTACCTTTCTGTTTGTAACTTTTTCTATTCATTGATGTTTCTTTTTTATGGCAACACTAACTTCTTGTTAATCAACCAGCTTGAGATAATGAAACATGATCGGTTACCTGTCCTCAGGGTGATGAAGCTATGCTTTCATGAGTATTTAGCGATGAACTTAGTCGTGTAAAATAAACCTACATACACTTTATATTTTACTTTTTAGTTAACGGTTTAAGAAAGTAAAATTTGATTTAATAGATGTTGGAAGACAAGAAACAGTCAAAATATTTGTATGAAGTTGATTGCATAGACAACAAAAAGGAAATAAAGGTACGATATATATTATATTACAATTAAGGTAAGAAAAATTGAGAGTATATTAATTGATAAATTCTGTATTACAATGTCTATATTTTCTATATAATATTAGCTGATGGATGTCCTTCTAAGCATTCTACATTAGGATCACCATCGTCTTCCTTGTCCAAAATAGCAAGTACTTCATCCCCAACATCGTCTTCCTCTACATTAATGTCATTTTCTAATTGCAAAGATGAATCAATAAGTTTTTCAATGTCATTCATATTCTCATCGCTAACTCCATTTTTGTTACCATCATTGGGTTTTCTCTTCTTCTTTATCTTACAAATTACATAACCCTTATTCTTAATTTCTCTAGCATCCAAATAACCATCATACAAAGAGTATTCCGTCATTAGCCACTCGCCATTAGCATTCTTGTTATCACTTTTGCTGTAGGTGTACTTTAAACTTTTCACGTACCCCATGAGTCTACCTTTATTGTCAAAAACCTCTTTTCCCTTTCCTTGTGGCTTCCACGTACCCTTCCCCACAGTTCGCGAAACTCTTTTCCATTTCGGATTTTGTTTCTTTTGGGGAGTTATAAAGTAACGTGTGTAGCTGTTAGTGCCTTCAAAAATCTGCCATGGTTCGTTGTCCGCATAAAGATTAACAACCTCCATATATTGATTTTGGTTGGGTAGTGGTTCATCTCTCGTAAACCCTACTAAATACTTCACGACTTCTATATTCTTAGGTGAAAAAATATAGCCCAACCGACTTCCTTTACCTCGAGCCATTATTTTAGTGATTGATGAATTTAAGAAACAATAATATTAATCACTGCTAGTTAGTTAGTAAGAAAAAATGATAATTATTTAAACAAAAAGAGAAAACTGGTCCGAGAGAATAATGGGAATATGATATGATAATTATTAAAACAAAAAGAGAGAACTGTTAGAGAATAAGGGGAATATGATTTGATAATTATTTATACAAAAAGAAAGAAGTGATATGAGAGAATTAGAGGAATATGATTTGATTATTATTTATACACAGAGAGAACGATCCCTGAGAGAATAGGAATGACGTTTTTTGGTAACTTTTTGTTTTATCTTACCTTTCGAAGGCTGGAATACTTTTTTTATTTACCTAATTTCTCCTAATCAAGTAGTTAATCACTTATTTAGAAGCTTTGGAAGCTTCTTTTTTTGAATTACTTGTTTAAGCTTTGGTAGCTTTTTTGTTTTTTGAATTAGTAATTACTCCTTATCACAAAGTTAATCACTGATTTAGAAGTTTCGGAAGTCTTTTTTTTTTTTTTTTTTTAAACCCTCTTAATTTGATGCCATGCCACCTGATGTATTAAGATTCTTTTAAAAAAATTCCAATTTTGCTGTTAAACTAAACTTTGATAAAATTAAACTTTGAAATTTTTTCATAATTCAAAGTAAATAATTATTCAGAGTGCAAGAAAATTATTGAAATGCTAAACTATTTTACCTCTACTTTTAA